AAAAAAAAAAAAAAAAAAAACCTATTTCTTTAAATTTTTAAATATGGTTGCAAATTGCTATTAAGGGATTTTTGAATAACATTTAGTTTATTTACAAACTTTATTACGAACTGTTTATAACCTTAGATAAATACCTACAAACATTTAAAATTGCATTTAAAGATTTGTTATCTTTGATTTTCTGTTTAAGTACTATTACTGGCAGACTGACATTCTTCCCAAGTACTTAAAAAATTCTCACACATCTATTATTAATACATTACACTTACAAGGATTGGGAACCTAAAGTTTTCTTACATTTTCTAATGCTGTACATAATGAAAACTTATTGTAATTGAAAGATACTTCCTCATTTAGTAAAATAACTATCATCTTAGGTAACTGAGTTAACTTTCTACAAGAGGCATAAGATATGAATTCTTCCTGTAGTAATCAAGGAAGCTATTATATCATAATTATAATTGGAGGAGGGTACCTACTTTGCATGCTTAAGGTTACCAATATCCAGAGATTTTGACTGGGAAACTGATTAGATTCTCATAGGCAACCCTGAGTGAAAACACAGAAGCTTGTGTATTGTTGCCATGTCAGAGACACTACAATGTCATTGTCAAGAAGAAGACATTGACATATCCCACCTCCCTAGACTCAATTTATGCACATGACCTCATAGGTCTACTCACAGATGCCTGCAGTCCCCAGTTTGTCATTTGATTAGATTTTTACATTTCTTTGGCTTTTAGGTTATACAGATCTCTTTTCTATCAGACTCTAATGCCTTTCCTTATAAGTCTAAATCTAAATTCTGCATCCTTTCATATTCTCAGAATCAAGCAATTCTTACCAGTGTTTCAAATGATATTTGTTAGAATTTAGGACATCTTACATAGTTTTTTCTGATTGGCAGTCACTCTCTCTCCAGGCAGTCTAGTGGCATTGCTGAAGAGTTGTTCCTGAAATATGGACAGCAGAATTTGGACCTCTTTGCTGATTGTAAACTGAAGAAGGCTGTTAGGTATCAGGCTGTGCCAGAGAAGCACTACACTAAAACAACCTAATTTGTTTCAAAGCCCACATAGATAGTTTTGAGATTGCATTTATTGATAAACAGGTAAAAAGGAATTCCTTAATATTTTTTCAACAATTAGCAAGTGAAATGTATAGTTGATACAACAGTAAAATCAGACCTAATTAGAAGATTAGAAAATAACAATAATCTTCTACTTGTTCGGAGACTAGAAAGACACACTTCCTACATTACCATATCTGATTCAATACATCATCCCCATATAATACTAAAATGAAGTAGTAACTGGGAGTTAAGCCATATAGAGCCTTAGTGAGGCCCAGTGATCTGGCAGTTAGTAAGGTACCAAGGCAGCAAAGAGCAACCTTCTCAATGGGGAGGACTGATAGTCATGCAGATTTTGACAAAGTTTCCTGGGCTCACATCAACATCTGGTAATACTGAGTCTTAAAACACCACAGCTAATTAGATTTAAGTGGAATTATAATAAGATGTCTTTAAAAGAAATGTGCTAAATAGATTTTTCCTCTTTTTAAATTAATTTTAACTGTGCAAGTATACATAAATGCAAAAAATTACATGATACAAACTAATACCAAAAAAATTTTTTAACATTACAAATAAGATTAAAGTACCCTTTTAACCAACATCCTCTAATCTACAGTAACCACCATTATTAGTAGGAAGTATATCTTTCTAGTTTTTATATGCAATTATACTCATACATTTACCACTAGAAAATATATTTTGTGTTGCTGTTTTCTAAATATTTTAAATGAATGTACATGTTGTTCTGCAACTTGCTCAACCAATGTCTTGCTAATCTCTTTATGTCAATAAAGACATTGATTGAGTGCTTCATAATAAGTATCGGTCACTATTCTAAGCACTTTGAGATCTATCAATGCATTTCTTCTTCATAACACTGCAGTTATTATGTTACTATCACACCCCTTTGCACTTGATGATCCTAAGGGACAGAGAAGTTGTGTAAATTGCCCAATTTGGTGGCAGAGCCACTTGTTCTGGATTCTATTCCAGGCAGGCTAACTCCAGGTCTTCTCCTGGGGTCACTATTTTACACTGCCTCTCTGCGATACATAAACCTACCTCCTGAATGCAGTATGTGTCAGCCCAAACCCCAGTGGGCCCATCTTTCATGAACTTGCAGTGACTGTGAATGATATGCAGATGCTGTTTAAGTTTTAAAATGCCACCGAGTGCCTCATTATGCTCAGCGTTTCAGTTGATAATAGCAGGAGCGAGGCCGTGCGGTGGGGCGAGGGGGGACTATTCTGGAGGGGATTCACGATTCACGCACCTAACAATGCCAAGCGGACCCTATTGTTATGCTGCGCCATTCCCCCAGTTCCCTTGCCGCCTGTGTCTGATCCGTGGGCAGCATTCCATTTACGTCAAAAATAACGTCAATCTAGTGAAAAAAAACTGAATGACTCACAGTATTGCTGTAGGGAACTGGTTTCTGTGTAATATGATATATAACATCCTAATTTCATAGAGCATTTTTCATAACAGCTGCTAAAATCATAATTGAATCCATTAAATTCTTTTAACGGGTTCAATTTGAAGCAATATTGAAAATAATCTTAAAATGCAAGTACAGTGAGGTGGCATCCCACCAACTCAAAACCACTCTATCATTAGCTGCTTCATATCTTCTCTGTATTTATGTCTATATTTATTAATCCATTCGAGTCTGCTCCTCTTTGATATTCCTATAGCTGCATTTGAATCAGAGGTAGGATATTTCAGAGACTGGAAGGTCTGAAAGACAGAATAGGTAAGAAAGCAGAGAAGGAGAAGGAAATTTTCTTCTGACCCTTATGAACAACAGAACAAGATACAGTGGAAAAAAAGAGGGAAGGGAAGAACTGAGGTCTTGGGTTTATGAAAGCAGGTGTATATTATTGATTGGGAGCTCTGTAGGGGATGAATGACGGTGAGAGAACATGGCCACCTAAGCCGTCACATTTAGCAGCACACAGAAATGTTGAGCCAGTTAGATTTCTCCTGCCACACTACCATCCACCAAACAGACAGCTAATTTTTTTAGGTAAGAATTTTATTCCTTGGATATACAGAAAGCCAAATAAAATCCCTCAGTGTTGGTTTGTTGTTCCCTGTGGCTATGTACTTCTGCAAGTTTGCAAAGTTAGCCCTTGACGTGGATTTTTGTTTGGAACATAAAATAAGACTAAAAAGAGGATTCAGAGAAGGCAGAAGATTGAAAAGTTTACTTCCAGACTTGAGAGTGACCTTGTGGAAGGAGCATAGACTTCTGAGGCCTGAGATTTATTCAGTCTCTGCCACAGATTAATTGTGCGGCGTAAGTTTGTACACAAGATAGCAACCTTCTTTGAGCCTCAGTTTTCTTTTTTTTTTTTTTTTTTGAGACAGAGTCTCACTGTGTTGCCCGGGCTAGAGTGCCGTGGTGTCATCCTAGCTCACAGCAACCTCAAACTCCTGGGCTCAAGCGATCCTCCTGCCTCAGCCTCCCGAGTAGCTGGGACTACAGGCATGCGCCACCATGCCCGGCTAATTTGAGCCTCAGTTTTCTTATATGAGACAGAAGGTTGGACCAGAATCCCAAGGTTCTTTTGAATTGTAATATTCTGATTCTTATATTACATGATGGAAGAAGATAGCATACAGTGACCAGTCACCCTTCTAGTCACCCAGCAGCATAAGTCCTGTCCTGTACGCATTTCCCTTTTATCTACACACATGTCCTCTAATACTTGTAACGGGGATGTTATGTGCAGTGTAGGTGCTGCTTGTAAACAGCATTCCTTCCAGCTTCCTTCTAGCATAACTGCTGAAGCGAAAGTTCCCGGCTCCATTCCATTTTTCTGCTTCGTTGCTTTAAAAACATTTTTTTCAGGATGGAACATAAATTACTGGTTTGTAATCCATGAATCACTGCTATAAAGTAGGACTGAAATCTTTGCTTTCAGACCCTGAAAAATTGTTAATTACATGGGGTATGTTGTTGGCCACTTGGATAATGGATTTTAGGCACTGCTTTTTAGGCTTTCACTAACTGCATCGCTAATTGCACACTCAAGTGTTTTGCACCTAGTCAGCTAATGTTAAGGCAGATGTGCCAGATTGCCATTTTGGGGTTGTCTGACACCAGTACGAGGCAAATTACTGAATAGTAATGGAGCCAGGAGCCCCAGAATAAATTCTCTGCACTATTAAACCCTGCTAATAAGTTGTTCTCATCTCCTCTCACTTCATTTGTTCAGTACTCAGTGATGGAGTAGCTACTGCAATCCTGGATGTTGGGTGCTATGCTGGGTCCTCAGAGTCAGCATTCTATTGCAAAAGGAGCCATGCTTACAAAAGTGGAATGCGCCTCCTTGGGTCTTTTTATCACTGAGTAACCAAAGCTATTGTTAAACCAACAAGATAAGAAATCATCTGAGAACTAAATTGTTCTATCGCTTTCAACATGCTTCTTTTTTTTCATGTTCTCTAACATATATACGGAAGATTAACAATAATACTTTATATGTAGCCTATTGGTGAAATGAATTTCCCAGACTAGTCACATTATTATATGATTATGTAACCTAAAACACTGAACTCTTATGGCACTAAAATCTTATGATAGTAACTTTTTCAACACTAGCTGAATCAGTGTGGGAGTCAAAGCACTGGAATAATTATGGT